CAGATATTCTATCTACAGGCTGAATATGATGTAATAGAATTTTTAAAAGTCTAAACAGATAAATCATAGGTATCATTCTACCACTAATGAACTGCATGATCTTTATGTGATTGACGTACTTTTCTGAACCTCATTTCTTCATCTGAATATACTCATATGGTTCCTTCCTGTGCTGAGGTGGAGCTCCAATTTTATGATGGTCATTTATTTCCAAATAGAAAATATTTAATAAACAAAACCTATAGATAGAGCAAGAAGTGATTTAGAGAAAGAAAATACAAAATTCTTTTACAGATGCTCCTATTAAATACATTTTTAAAAGATTATATAGGAAGGATATCAGATTAACTATATGGATGTAGATGAAAGATAAAATCAATAGTGAAGATTCAAAGGATGAAATGACTTTAATAGTTTAAAATTTTGTCCATATATATTGCTGACAACTTGTATTTTCAGTACAATATTAATGTCTGGGGGTATGCTTTTTATCTCTACCTATGTACTTATTCTTCTTGATTCTACAATCTTACTGATATGTAAAAGCATTTACCTAAGCATCTTTTAATGGTTCAATGTGTTCTTTTAATCTTGTCTTTGACGCAGATTAGGATAGAACTATTTTTCTCTCATTTTTAAAGTCAGAAATATGAATAAATTTATTTCCTGTTAATAAACTGTACTACTACATTCTTGGCAGTCATTAAATTAACAGAGGCAGTAACTTAAGAACCGATTAAATATAGCTTAACAGGCAGTCGTCTTTCATGACTTTTAGTACCTCTGCAAACTATAATTAGCTATGGACTTGCTGGGTGAACAGTCACTCCTAGTCCATATGAAAAATCCCCGTTTGTTTATGGGTTAACGTATTTTTACGATTATAAACGTGAAACATAAATCTGTACCAGTTGATGCAACAACCGAAATATGGCCCTTTAGCTTTTCCTTCTTCCGTGTCAGCCTTTACTTAAGTATGTTCTGCAGAACGCTAGTGTTCCTCTGGATGCTCCTTGGGAAATAAGATTCTATGAACAAACTTCTGGGAAATGTTGGATTGAACAAAGTGAAGCAAATAGTATTACTTTCGGTTCAGCGTCAGTTCACCAAGAGTCTTATTTGAACAACAAACTGATTTTGGGGTGATACTTCATGGGACTAGAAGTATTGCAAAGGACATACTTTAAGAAACACATACGTTTAAAAACAATTTACATTAAGAACTTAAATGAAATAAAACGAAACAAGAATTATGGCACACCTGATCTCTGAGAGGAAGACTGAGCCTCCCGGAACAGATGTTTTTCTGATAAGGGAAGAGACAGCCTTGTTACAAGCATCTCATAAGTTTTACTGGTAGAGCACTATTCCTTTATTCTTTAAAATTATAAAGTGAGCCTTCAAATCAAAGCAAAAGAAAATGGTTTTCTAGTTAAAAAACAACTAGTGGAAAATAAAATTGTAACACAACTAATAGAAGCTAAATTGTAGTTTTCAGGTAAAATTTATTATGTGATGGACTTCAAAAACAACTAGTTTCAAATCCGAATAACTGCCCTTTTCTTAGAAAGTCCGTCTGGAGGGTGAGGACTGGAGCTTGTTTTCTTTCTATGTGAATTATTTGTTTCTTTTAAAGAAACAAAACAACGTAAGGAAGTACCTGAAGGTTTCAGTACAGATATCTCCCAAAGTGTTATTGCTGCCACGTTATTTTTCAACGTGTCACATAATGTTTGTATAATTTTTAAATGATAACAAAGCAGTCAGGCCACATTCATAAAAGCCCAGTGACACACAATTTCGTTGAATCTGAGGATTAGAATTAATAGTTTCTCTTTGTTCCAAGTTCTAAATCTCAGTAAATGATTCACTGCATGTCATTACAGCTTAATATTTGCATGAAATCACAGTTTAGCTGGCATAATTTAACAGCAATTAAAAAGCTATTTAATCGTTATGCAAATTGGTATGAGGGCCCTTGAGTCAGAAGGGTGTCAGCCTTCTTTTTTTTTTTAAGTATCTCCAGGCAGACAGTTATATACTTGTAGACTCCCATAACATAATTGATAACATTTTCCTAGCATGAAAATATAAGTGAATAGTAATTCATGTTTTCCATTATAAATAAAAGACCACCAATATGAATATGTCATCCTGTAGGAAAACATTACTATGATAATGATAATGAATCTTTCTCCTAGGCATAAGTCTAGGTTGGAGGTAAAAAGTTACATTTATCTCTGTTCTCTAGTTTATAGTCCCCTTCACATTTGCCTTTCTGAAGGTAGACACTTCTGTAAACCCTATGAAACATGATATGGCATAAAGGATGGCACTCGGCAACCTTTTAGAAAAATGATTCATTGCATTTCTAGGTGATATATGTCTAGGTAGCTTAGCTGAGTTCCGTTCCTGTTGTACACAGAACACTGTGGCACTGTTTACAATAGCAAAGACCTGGAACCAACCCAAATGCCCATCAATGATAGACTTGACAGGGAAAATGTGGCACATATACACTGCGGAATACTATGCAGCCATAAAAAATAATGAGCTCATGTCCTTTGTTGGGACATGGATGAATCTGGAAACCATCATTCTCAGCAAACTGACACAAGAACAGAAAATCAAACACCGCATGTTCTCACTCATAGGCAGGTGTTGAACAATGAGAACACGTGGACACAGGGAGGGGAGCATCACACACTGGGGTCTGTTGGGGGAGACTAGGGGAGAGACAGTGGGGGGTAGGGAATTGGGGAGGGATAACTGGTAAGAAATGCCAGATATAGGTGATGGGGGGATGGAGGCAGCAAACCACATTGCCATGTATGTACCTATGCAACAATCCTGCATGTTCTGCACATGTACTCCAGAACCTAAAGTGCAATAAAATACATATATATACGTATATAAATATACATATATATATATATATGTAAAGAAAATAAAACTATCCAGACTCATCCCAATGAGCCTAGCGGTCCTGCATTATCTAGTCTCTTCCTGTTTCTTAAAACTTGCTTCATGCATTTCCCTCTGCAGTCACAGTGACTTTCTGACAGTTTCATGATTATTTCAAGATCTTTCTTGACAAAAAGGCAGACTTTCTATTCCTGATATTTTTCCCACCCCGCCACACATTCTCCTCACCACCTCTACAAGGCTTTCTCAGACTGTTACCTAAAACAGGGGTCCCCCTGATTGATTTTATTTCAGCACCTGTCCTAATTTTTGTAATTTTACTCATTATGATTTGAATTTTATTCATCTGTTTAAATGTATCTAGCCACTCTACTAAAATGTAAATAAGAAAGCAGAAATAATGTCTACCATGCCTTATTCCTGAAAGCCCAAGATGTAGTAGAGTATCTGACATCATAGGCACTAAGTAAAATGTTTAATGAATGAACGGCTTTAGTTTGAAATCCAAAAGGAGATTTTATCAAAACTTGAATTTATTTCTAGGAGGGAATGTTAGGGAGACATTCCTTTCCACTCTCAAAGCAGGTTTTCTCGGTAACAAAAGTTAGAGAATTCATTTAGATTTTTTTAATGAAGCCCTCTAAAATATGGCCTGAACATTGTTTGACCAGTCATTTATACAATATATTATTTTTCTAAATATCTCTCGTAAGTATAATCACAGCAATATGGACTCTGTGTATTTTCACATATAGTACTTAGCGCAGTGTGTGGCACCTAGAAGACATTCAGGTGGTATTTGTTTAGTGAACATAATTAAACTGAGGCTGGAAGGACTCAGATAAGTGTGTAGGATTATTCACACAATTTTAAGGAAAGGCTGGAAGAATTAAAGTAAGCTACCAAGTACTCTATGCAGTGTGATCTTTGTAGAGAAACTGAAGAAGATGCTCATTCTCTCCTTAGGACTGACTTGGCTTTTGAGGTCTTTATGGCAAATAAGAGAATTGTGTGGGTCTCTTAGGGCTGTACTTACTTTTAAGGATACACTTACTTGTGTTTAGTAAACTTAGTCTAAATGAAAGTCTTTCCATCATTTCTTGTCTGTGGCCCCTTTTTATCCCTTCCATATAATGCTTTTATCTCATCAAATTGACAAAGACTTAAGAAAAGACTTGGCCGGGTGCGGTGGCTCAAGCCTGTAATCCCAGCACTTTGGGAGGCCGAGGCGGGTGGATCACAAGGTCAAGAGATCGAGACCATCCTGGTCAACATGGTGAAACCCCGTCTCTACTAAAAATACAAAAATTAGCTGGGCATGGTGGCACACGCCTGTAATCCCGGCTACTCAGGAGGCTGAGGCAGGAGAATTGCCTGAACCCAGGAGGCGGAGGTTGCGGTGAGCCGAGATCGCTCCATTGCACTCCAGCCTGGGTAACAAGAGTGAAACTCTGTCTCAAAAAAAAAAAAAAAAAAAACAGAAAAGAAAAGGCTTTTTGTTGCCTTTAATTTTCATTTCTTTTTCCTTATTTCCAAATTGTCTGTTCACCCTAACTTTATGGTCATTTATTCTCAACTTCTGGGAAACAGATTCTTAGTGATTTTCAGAAGCAATGAATGGGGATTTTATCTATATTCCAATTATAGTAAGAAGACTGAAAACCGCAGTGTGTTTTGTATATATGTATGTTACTATTTTTTTCAAATTTTGAAAATGGTGATGATATAATTAATACGATATAATTAAAGCTATCATAATTTAAAATAATTTTTGATATATATTTTAGTCTAGTTTTAAAAGTATAATTCCCTATGTTTTAAGATATGCTGATTTTTATATTAAATATTGAATTTCATACTCCAAAAATTTAAGGTGTAGATCTTTACTTCTCAACACTCCTTCCTTACTAGACTTAATGAACTATTTTAACCATTTGATCATCATAGATCCCATTAGAAAAAGAATTAAAATGAACATAAAAGACCAACAGATGTTTATGAATGACGTTTTCAATTTAACACCATAATTCATTGTCCTATACATGTACATATGTTTTTTAATTGCTTTTCTCTAGGGCCACCTTCAGCTCCTAGGAATGTGGTTTTTAACATCAATGAAACAGCCCTTATTTTGGAATGGAGCCCACCAAGTGACACAGGAGGGAGAAAAGATCTCACATACAGTGTGATCTGTAAGAAATGTGGCTTAGACACCAGCCAGTGTGAGGACTGTGGTGGAGGACTCCGCTTCATCCCAAGACACACAGGCCTGATCAACAGTTCCGTGATAGTACTTGACTTTGTGTCTCACGTGAATTACACCTTTGAAATAGAAGCGATGAATGGAGTTTCTGAGTTGAGTTTTTCTCCCAAGCCATTCACAGCTATTACAGTGACCACGGATCAAGATGGTAAGTTCCACTGCTGTTCTCTCGGAACAGACCTGTAATTTCTTTTGAAGCGTTATATCCCTCAGGGGCCTCTATGCACTGCAGATGCAATGCAGTCATATACATTCTACACTGCAGAGGTAATTCTCTGGTTGGTGTTCTTTCCTAAAATTCAGAAGGATGATTTTATATTACTTCTCAGTAGTATGACTAACAAGATGAAATGCTTCCCTCTGATGTTTATGTACTCATGTTTTTTATATACTCATATAACAACGTATCTTGATGAGTAAGTCCATAGTACTCATCAACAGAAGTCAGAAATCAATAAAACGTTATTAAATGAATTGAATTTCAATTGCCCCACTTATGCTGCCATCCCTTTTGCATGTCATAAAGCAAATAGTAATAGTTTTTAAATTATAATTCATGTCTATATTATAAAAGCATTCCAGCCAACATATTTAATTGTGATCCACTCAAAATAGCAGAAAAATTTAGAAATGTATTCAAGTGCCATAATCTATGTGAAGTTTGTGAAAAGTAGTTAAGCTGTTCAGAAATCTGATGAATTCAGTTAAATGTTCTCTTTATAACATCATAGATTTTTGCTACAATATGGTCAGGCGCAAACACGCCTGTGATTTTTACAAGTACATACTCTCTTTAATTCCACCATAACATAATTATGCTGCAGAGCAGGAAACAGGAAACGCTTAAGAGATTTTTAAAAACTCCTTTTGAGAAGTGTTCATAAATTATATGAGCACACAAGTTATTGCCGTACAGCAGGAAGTATTATAAATGGACACATATGAGACAAATTTATGAAGATAAAACTATTCTTGTGCACTGCATTTGTTGCTAAGGCAGCCATAACAAATACGACAGGTTGTGTGACGTAAACAACAGACAATTTATTTTCTCATAGCTTTGCAGGCTACAAGAATCAAGTTGTCAGCAAGTGTTGATTTTATTCTGAGGCCTATGTCCTTGGTTTGTAGGTGGCCATCTTTTTCCTTGTCTTCACGTGGTCTGTCCTCTTTATATCTCATCTCTTCATCTTCTCTTCTGATAAGGACATTAGTCATATTGAATTGGGACCCTCATATGATCCCATTTTACCTTGAATGCTTTTAAAGACTCCATTTCTAAATGCAGTTATCATTCCGAGGTCCTAGGGGTTGTGACCTCAACATATGAATGTGTAGAAAGACAGTTCAGCATAATATACACAAAGACAGCATATGGTGATATTTAAAATAAGATACATTGATTTGAATGCATTGGAATAATACTCAGAAATAAAAATGAACAAATATTGACACACAACTTGAATAAACCTCAGTGGCACTTTACAGAGTGAAAAACCTATTTCGAAAGGATGCATTCTGTATGATTCCGCTCATATAATATTTTTGATATAATATAATTATAGATATGGAAAACAGGTTCGTGGTTGCCAGGGCTCAGATGTTTGCAGGAGGGCAGTGTGGCTATGAAGTGGTAGAAGGAGGGAGGACTGTAATGATGGTTGTATGTCTTGATTATGGTGACAGCTAACTGATGCTATGTACATGATAAATTGACATGTACCTGATAAATGTCATACACACACACACACACACACACGCAAGCCCTGTGGATTGGACCAACATCAATTTCTTAGTGTTCCAAAATATTATAATACGTAAATTCACTTAGCTGATAATCTTCAGAAATGCCTCTAATAAATAAAGCCATATGACATTGTACACTCATAATCTTTGTATTTACGATGTAATTTTCCTCTTCCTTTAGCAAATATTTCCACATCATACAATTTGCTTTATGGTTATTCAAAATAGAATTTCTATTTTCTCTTTTCTTTTCCTCTTTCCTTTAGTGACAACAGAATCTTGTCAAATTTACCTTCAGCATAAAGCAGATGAGGGTTTTCTCTTCCTCTTTGCTTTAGCAGATGATTTCTAAGGATTTTTATTGCCACCACCTTATCAAAAAATACAATCTAGTACAACAATTTTTACCTATAGGGAAAAAAATTTAATTTCAGGACAAAATTAAATAAATATGTTACTTAAAATAAATATATAAGTATGCTTACATAATTTCATACATACAGCAGCCTTTCATTCTAGATTACAAGAGAGTATATTTATTTCACATCTCTGCATATCAAAAATATAAAATATGAGTTGTTTTTCACTTTGAAATGGGATAGTTTATTAAAACTATGTTGCTATATGGAAAAAAGATATGTTTCAAACATGAAATAGCAGATGGAATCCATATACCAAAACCACATATTCTGGAAGAATAATATTGTTAAACAATCCATTCCAATCATTTATCTTTGTTGAATATTAAGAAATTATTATTGTTAATTTAATTTGATTTATAAATATTTTAAAAAGAATCAAAATGTATTTTATTTGAAAGTACATAAAGGTCCTAAACCAACTAAAATATTGTCATGTATATACTAATAAAATATTATGATCAGCCTTAAATATGAACATCTACCTCCATGTTATAACTTTGATACCAAGAAGGCCCCCTCTTGTTGTGCCTGAAATTCTGAAGTTAGAGAATCACATCTGTGAAAATGCAAATACTCCAGGTAAGGGTAATGTTATGAACTAGTTCAGTCTATGCATCTATCAGATATTCCTTCTGTATCCAAAGGAATCAGAGTGTAGTATTGAATTTAAAAGGAATTTATAGAAACTGAATGTTTCAGAATAAACTTTCAGCTGATGCCACTTTGTTCAAGCCTTAATTAAAATAATTGTATTGCTTCAAATAGAGGAAATAATTTCCCATCACTCTACGTTGGAGTATCTCTGGGAATTCTCTTTTAACTCTCTAAGAGACAATTGCAAAAGTTATCTGATAAGAAATTATGATTTCATTAGACTGAGAGGACAACAGTAAAATGGTTTACCTTCTTAGCTGTAGGTTAAATATTGGGTGTGCCTTGTGGTAAAAAAAATAGGCTAAGGAGGTTTTCCTCTTAAAGCATAAGCCTGTGCGTTTTTACACAAAAACGGAAGTGTGATGTGTTATTCATAAACTTTCAATTTATTTAACATATTTTTAGTGTATTCCTTGTATGTGATAGTGAGTCAGCCTTTTTGTGCTTTAAAGTCTGGTGGGAGGCAGATAATAAGCAGGTTATTTCACAAACCTGTAGTTTATACTGTAGTAAGTACTGCTTGGGAGAAGCCTAGGGTGCTCTGAAAGCATATGTTCTCCAAATCTGGAGGATGAGGTGTGGGGCCATCTTACTGAGGAAACAACATTTGAATTAAGTTCTGCTCTGGGGGGATGAATAGAAGTGATTAAATAAAATGAGACTGGAATAAGGGAAATAATTCTGAGTGGAAGGAACCGGGCAAAGGTTGGTTAATGGAGGAATTAGAGACTGATCATGTATAAGATAGCGGATCATAGAAGTACAACAGAAATTGGAGAAGGAGCTGAAGAGTTCATCTAACATTTGGACAAATGGGTGGGTGTCTGCAAATAGCTGCAACTATTTAAAGAAGCAGCCACCTATCAGAAGATGCTGGAATTTTTCCAGGACCGCACATAGGAGAAAAAAGTCAGACTAGTAACATTGCTCATGAGTTCATACTTACATGAGTATGGAAAAAATATTAGAGACCAAAAAATATAGACAATTATATTTTTTTCCTACTCTATGTGTGCACATTGTGGAACATGAAAATAGAGATGAAATAAATTGGCATTGGTTTGCCTTTTCTTTCATGTAGTTGACTATGTATATATATATTTTCTCATATTTAAGAAAGACTAAGAAAACCACATTAAACAAACCTGGCTTAATTGTTTGCTCTGTTTATAATTAAACAAATGTAAAAAAAAGTTTGAAATCACTTAGAACCACTTAGATTTAGTTACAAGAAACAGTCCTTGATTATTCCGACTGTAGTTGGATAAATAAGATTATAGAGTTAAAACTATGACTTTCATAAAAAGGAACCTTTGCAATAAATCTTAGTTAACTGACTTCTACAATTTCTAAGAGCTGTATTTGCAACCTTCTGTTTTTGTAGTTCATTTAAATGGTCTCGAAAGGTGTTTCATTTGGAGAGCAAAACAAGAAAGCAATGTGCAGAAGACATTTGATTTTAATCTTCAGTGCATGATAGGAAAACTAAGATTGCGTAGTTCGGAAAAAGTAATTATTCAGGTTTTAGACAGTAAAGGAAACGTTTTTCACGGATAGTCAACCCAAAACAAATTGTGTTTGTAGATATCCTGACATGTGCAGAAACCTTTAGGGGCCATGTTCAAAGTGAAAGACATGGTAAATTACAAACCAATTCTGCTGATATTTGCTAAAGGGTCTTTAAAGCAACTGTTGTCAGAAGCAAGTTGTCCAATTCATTGGCATCTTAAAGAATTACACTCAATACTGTTATCTCTGCCCTTGAGTGACCATTCTGTACAGGTCTGCCTTAGGATCACATGGTGATTGCAGATTTTGTGTACATGCTGTAGCAGTGATAACTAATTAAACTGGCTTTGAAAAATACGTTTAAATCAACCAAAGTCTATATTATTTATAAACTTAAGATGTCTATTTGATTTACAGTTCACTGGATTTTGGAAGTACAGTCTATTTCAAATGCCAAACTTTTCCATGTTGCTGGAGGAAGTAATTAGGGATAGTGTAAACATTCATTCATCTTTATGTTTACGTTTTAATGAATTTTATCCTTCAAGATCTCTCACAGCCCTTACTACGTTTTCAAAAACGCTAACAGCAAGTATTCTTGTTAAAACCTATGCAATTCTATTTAAAAAAATCAGTGTGAAAGTTTTAAATGCTTACTAAAAATACATCAACTACAAACCAGAGGCATGATAAGTTTTATTTTGTTTATTAAAACAGACAATAACCATGACTTTAACTATTTTCCATATTTCTTATACGTATGTGTAAATTGTATATTCAAAAGCTAGACATTGAAGTATAGAATATTTCTGTCTTC